AGGGTTAGCTTTGCTCACTTTCTCTAGAGTGGAAGGTGTTTGTGTTTGGTGGTCTTGGTTGGATAGGGCATCTTTGGCAGCCATTCTTGTAAGATTGAGGCAGTGGAGTGCTGCCTGGGAATCCTTCTGCACCTTGTCTTGTCCCCTGGACGGTTTCCTTTTGACCCTTTGAACCATTGTTTCCAGATACCATTGCCTCAGGACCTTTGGTTTTCTGCAGAGAATACCCCCTGGGTTCTTCCTGCATGGAAGCACAACAGTACCCATTTGGCCTCTGGCGCTTAAAGAACTAGGAAAGGGGACCCCAGGATCTGACACCCAGACAGTTGTTATTTTAGCCCCACAGCTCCAGTCACTTCCACCTTTGTTCTTTCGGCCCCAAAGCCATGCAGTGCAGCTTGGGTTTACCAGAGACCTGTGTCCTCTGTCTCCTTAGAGATGATAGGAATTAGGTGTCCCCAGCCCTGTCACCCCCTTCCTTGTGCCATGCTTCCTCCTGTCTGCCCAGATACACAGTGAGGGGCCGTCTCTGTCTTCCCACTCTTGCTGCTGCCCACCTGTGTGCTTGCTGACGAGGTGTGCTCCCTATGCCACTGTACCTTCCACTGTCCTAAAGTCCTTTTTATATTCGTTTACTGTCATTTTAACAAGGCGTGGGGGTAGGAGCTGCTATTAGTAACTGCAAACTCCTTGTAGTTTTTAATATTGACTTTGATTTTGTATTTAACTGTTTGCTTAGGATGTCCAGTCTCCCTTGGTTCTCAAATGTAGACATGCTGTCTAATGCTCAGTTATACTTTCAGAGCCTTGCATAGACTAACTGTTCCTTTACCAGCTGACAGGGAGAGAGCACCATAAACGGGCTTTGTTTGTTTTATTTAGCTGTGTTTTTCTTATGTTTAATATCTATGTTTCTAGACTAAATCAAAAGTAAGTCACAGAAGATAATTTTTCTCCTTCCAAAGTAAACACTGCTGCATTGTAGCACATGCCCCTGACCCCAGCACTTGAGAGGCTGAGGTAGAAAGATGAGTAGTTCAAGGCCTTTCTGAACATAGAGAATTGAGACCAGTCTGGGCTCAGACTGTTCCCCAAAATAAAATAAGGCATAAGCACTGAGATTAAATTGTAGTCATGCTAGTCTGAGGAGCAGGACAAAGGCTACTGCAGAGCAGTACACCTTTGAATGACTCGTAATTACTCAGGCGAATGCATGGAAACTGGGATGTGCCATTAGGTAGCTCATTATGCTGCCAATGCAATTACATGCTCAAAGGCAGCTCCTCCCTTTGGCTCACCCAGTCTGTGATCGCTCATTATGCAGCCTCAGCTGTCAAAATTGGAGAATACATGCTGATGCTGGTGCTGGTGCTGGTGCTGGTGCTGGTGCTGGTGCTGGTGCTGGTGCGTCTTATAACCCACCATGGAATAAGCTATAGAAGGAAACGTTTATATTATAGCTTAGCCAAGTTTGGTACAGATTTGCTACAGGAAGCAATAGTGTGCGTATGTGTGTTCGTGTGCGTGTGTATAGATAGATGGATTGTAGTACAGTACCATCGTCTCTTTCTTACCTGTAATTTTTATTTTTAAAAAAACTATTGTTTTCTTTTTTATAACTGACCTGATTCCTTAGAACTCAAGTCTTACCTAGATTGACATTAATGAGACTCTTTCTTATCTTTCATTTGTCTTAAATCAGTGATATGAACATACGTGATTCTGTTACAGACATTCTTAATGTGTTTAATAATGGGCAGACAGCACCTGACATTTCATATAACCTATGGTATATTTGCTCTATTATTATTTTTTAAGATGCCAAATGTCCTAAAGCCTGGGCAGAGTTGTTTTTGATAAAGATGAAAGCTTCATGGTAAGAATGGCTGCTTGCCGTTTGCACCTAGATTTAAGCCCCAGGAGTCTTGACTGTATCTCTTAGATAAAGTGTCACTACCATCATCACTGAGGTGGCAGCAACAACAGTACACACTTAGCCTCTGGCATTCAAGGGACGAGGGATGGTGGTGTTTTATTGCTCAAATCCCAGAATTTATATTTCTGCCTGTTTTTAGAATGTCCTGAAAATAATTAAAATAACTTAACGTGGCTGCCAAGTGATAAGATTGTTCTGTAGTCTGCATCAGCATTGCTGATAGTCAGCAAATATAGTTCTTTTCATTTTTGTGTTGGATTTGCTTACTTATTTGTGTATTGTGTATGTGTGTGGCTGCTCACATGTGGTGGTCAGAGGACAACTTTTTCCACCATGTGGGTCCCAAGAGTAGAACTTAGGCTGCCAGGCTAGGCAGAGGGCACCAGGCTAGGCAGCGGGCACCTTTACCCATCAAGCCATCTCATCCTCTCAGGATCTGGAATGTGTTAAGTGCATTCTCCAAGCTACAGCTCCTAGCTCAGAGAACACATGGTTGATGGAAAGTTAACAGACCATCAGTTGTTTAAAAAAAAAAAGTTTTCCTCAAGTTATAAAAACAAAAGTGTGTCTTTAAGGATTATCTGACATGTAGCATTGTGCCTTGGAAGACAGCAAGGACTTTGACACATTAATATGCAATCATCGTAAATATAGCAGATCCATGACCATGGTTTTCGCAACTTACTGGTAGGCCTGTGAGCAAAGCCCTGGTGTGGAGAAGCACACAGCTAATACCTTTAGTAAGAACCACTTCCTAATGGTGGCTGTGGGGTCTCTCTGGAAAGGAAGTGGGAAATGTGCACAATAAAGTCACAAATAGGTTTAATCTTGGATTTGGTGGAAATTTTAATGGCCACAAATCTGTTCGCAGAGTTTATTTATCGTAAGTGGGCCTGTCTCCTGAGAAACAAAGGAATTCCATGAAAATCCAGGTAAATAATCAAAAGGAAAGTCACAAGACATTATAAGAGAAGCCTGGGTCCTGTGAGGTGACTCAGCAGGTAGACGTGCCTGCCACTAAGGCTCACAACCTGAGTTTGATCCCTGGGACACACATCGTGAGAAAGAGGGCCATTTCCTGACAGTTGTCCTCTGATCTCCATATGACACCCTCCCCCACCAATACACTAATAAATAAATGTAATAATAGTTTTTTAAAAGGAGGCTATGGAAAACTAGATTTCTGTCTGGTCTGACATTTTGTTATTCCTATCGCTATCCCTAAGAGGAGAAGTCAGAGCATGAAATCCATTCTTGGTCCTTCAAGTTCATGCTTATAGCTGCCTCCATGCTAAGACTCCACCTGGCCTCATCTGTGCTTCACTCACCTGCAGCCAATGAGCTACAGATTGAAAATACTTGCAAAAATATGATCTACATGCTGAGTATATACAGACTTGGTGTTGTATGACAAAACTTTTTCTGGGAAGATGCATCACACGTCTACTCACCCAAATAGGTATCCACAACAACAAATACCACCAAAGTCTAACTTGGTGAACCATGAGTTTACTTACAGGAAAAGAAATGACTCAAAAGTTACATCACCAAAGCCCACCCCAGAAACTCACAAAAACTGGGAACCTAGAGCACAGTACACAGCCTGTAGGCAGCTCAACAGGTTGAAGAATGTTTTTCCCAGGTGTCTTAAGCTCAAGTGGTCTAAACCTCTTCCAGGAAGCTGGTCTGGTCTCAGTCTTCTTTGCAGCTTGTCTGAGAGTCTTTTTTGCAGCTCAGCTTTGTTTATGAGGAACTTCCAGCTTCTATTGCTTATTCTGATAGGGAAGGCCTAGTGAATCTGGTCAGTTTCAGGGACTTCCTGAAGCTATTTTGAGTTGTAGAGCTTCCCTGCAGGATGAAATGTTTCAATCCTGGAGGAAACTGTTATATAACACTTGGGTTTTGGCTTTTTAGATTCCAGGGCTTTGAAGGTCACTCTGCCCTAAGCAATATCATGTAATAGCACTTATATTGGCTTTTAAAAGAACTTGTTTGTGTGTGTGTGTGTGTGTGTGTGTGTGTGTGTGTGTGTGTGTACTTACATGAACACCATCTATGTGTGTATGTGTACATTTACATGCACACCATCCATGCCTTTTATCTAGGTGTAGAGTTTAAACTTTAGAGGGGTCATGGCCAAGAAGTACTTTATGTATTGTAATGTTGAGTATAGGTGCCGGTTACCCCACAATTACCTAAAACCACAACAGTTCCTTTGAGAGGGTCCTTCATGAAATTTTTTAGGTGCCTTGTATTTTTTGAAAGTTTATCTGTGTTTGAAATCAAACCATTTCACTTATCATTTAAAATAGCATAACTTGTCGTACTTGGAAACTGGTCTGTAAGGTTCCTCTAGTAAGACTTGTTTTCATACAGCCTCTTTGGTAGTGCGTTGACTGCCCCGCCCCCATTTTCCCCCTTTAATTGAAGAGGTGTTAACGCAGGCTATTTTATTTTCCTTTGCTATGCCTCTTCCTCCTACTGTCTCAAAAAAGGTTAAACTCAGTTTCATAAGTTTCATTATGATTTGGTTGCCCTCCACCCCCCATAATTACTGCTGAAGTAAACAGGTAGGTTATCATTGGAAGTTCCATTATGCTGCCCTTGGGTTCTCTTGTCTATAGTATCCTCCAGGAGTGAGCAAATTTTCTTTGAAATAAGCACTGACTTCAATAGGTGTGGCGTAGTGCAGAGAAAGATATTGTTAACAATAAAAAGCTGTCAAGAAATCACAAGCTAAATATATGTTATAATATATTTATGATACTAAATATATGTTATAGAATTCTAGTACTGTTTTGAGTGAGGGACATGATAAATAAATAGAAGTTATTATAAGTATCTGAATTGCTTGTCTGTATTTTGATTATTGTAATGTTAATAGTGTAATACCTTGTATCTTTCCCCTTTCCAGCTTAAATTCTTCTACTTTGTTTATTCCCTTTCCATTGTATTTTCTGCCATGTTTACACATATCATAGCTATCTTTCCTCTGGTTGAATTGAATACTTGCAACTCAGGATGCAAGGTGAGTTGTGTTTGACCTTTTAATATCTCCTCCCAGGTTTTGGGTCCTGCTCCCAGGTGGTGTTCCTTCCTGGACAACTTGACAGAAGAATTAGAAGAGAATCCAGAGAGCACAGTGTATGATGATTACAAATTTGTCACCAAGAAAGACCTTGAAAATTTAGGTAAAATGTGATAAAATGTTTATGAAATTGTCTTATTTTTCACATTTGTGGGTTTGAACATTAAAATCAACTGAGCCATTTTTATCTGATCTTTCCAAATGTCCCATTTCTGCCAAATCAAATATCAAAATGTTCTAAATGATCAACTTTATAATCTCTACTCAGAAAAGCTTTGGTAAGTTTAACTGGCTGAAGCCTTTTGTGCCTTAACTAGAAGAGACTCCCTTTTAGCAACCGACATCCTATCCAGAGAGTGTGGTGTCTCTCAGAGCTATGGGAGTCAAGTGTGGCTTTGAGAGTATGATAAATGTAAATAAATATACCTTGGAAACCTCTCAGACTGTAAGCAGATAGTTCTTAGAGCTCTTAGATTCATTCATAAAGGACCTAATCCAAAACTTGGGATTCAAACCTTCCAATAGAAAAGACTCTTAACTCAGACTGAACATTCCAACCTGAAGTCTGAAGTGTTCCAAAGTTCAGAACTTTTTGAGTCCTGAGTTGCCACTCAAAAGTTTCAGGGTTTTGAGCCTGGATTTTAAAATTCAGGATGTGCAGTTTTCCATCACTGTAGCAAATACCTGACTTAGTTTTCAAGAGATTTATTTTGGATCAAGGTGTGTAGATTTTGCAGTCTGTGACTGAGCACACTCATGGCTTGTAGACCTGCAGTGAGACCCATCACTAAAGAGCAATACCCTCAGTTCCCTAAGACTTTCAAATGACATCGTTAACAAATATTTTATATTGGGTAATTAATCAGGCCACATACTCTGAGAAAATGTTGAGTGCTAAGTCCATGCAGACACATGAATAGATCGTGTGTTAACTCCTATAGTTATAGTAGAAGGACATCCTAAGTTTAATTTTTCCCTTTTGTTGTTGTTGAATGCATACTAGTTTAAACTGCTATGTGACTTTTTTTTTTTCAGTCTAATTTTCAGGTCTAAATATGGAAGCAATAGTGAACAGTAGGGATGGTCTTAATGAGCATGCGCATGTGTGTATGTGAGTTAAGTTTGTCAGCTGTTTGTGCTTGGGAGACCGTGCTATCACATTGTCCTTTATTTCTGGAAATGTTGACAACACTGCCCCAGTTTTTGCATTCCCCATTCCTATTTGACAGTATATACCTGGGAACCTACTGTTGATTCCCAGCATACTGCTTTAAAATCAAACTGTTTTAGCCCTGCAGGTGGTGCAAGCCTTTAGTTAGTTCCAGCACTCGGTGGGAGGCAGGGATAGGGGTAGAGCAGGCAGATCACTGTAAGTTGGAGTATACATAGAGAGTTCTAGGACAGCCAGGGCTACATGCAGAGACCCTGTCTCAATGAACAAATGAACAGTCTGTTTCAAAGTCTAAGAACCACTATTTAAGGAACCCTCTTTACCATAGTCAGAGTTAAAAAATACTTTTCCATCTTTTATACTTAATATGACATTTAAGACAAGAAGAATGGTATTAATGGAATTACTTATATATTCTCATGAATATTCAAGATTAGCAGTCCTTAATTGTGTTACTTTAAAGGGAAACCGTATCATAATTAAATTGTTGTTTAAGAAAGCTTAAATCTTAAAGACTGGAGAGAGCTTTGTGATTAAAAACACTGTCTGCTCTTCTAGGTTCAATCCCCAGTACCCATGTGGCTTCTCACAACTTTCTGTAGCTTCAGTTGCAGGGGATCCAACACCCTCTTCTGGTCTCCACGGATACTGCATACATGTGGTACACAGACATACATGCAGACAAAACACCCATACACATAAAATAACCATTAAGAAAGAAGGAAAGAGCCGGGCGGTAGTGGCTCAGGCCTTTAATCCCAGCACTTGGGAGGCAGAGGCAGGCGGACTTCTGTGTTCGAGGCCAGCCTGGTCTACAGAGTGAGTTCCAGGACAGCCAAGGCTACACAGAGAAACCCTGTCTCGAAAAACAAAAAAAAAAAAAAAAGAAAGAAAGAAAGAAAGAAAGAAGGAAAGAAAAACTTAAATTTTAATGAAGATGTCATAAAGACTTACCCTCTTCTGATTAACTTTTGCAGGGCTCACACATCTCATTGGATCACCTTTCCTCAGAGCATACATGCATGGGTTTTTCATGGATATCAGACTCTACCACAAGGTAAGTACAGGCTACGGATATTTCAGGCGATAGTAAGTCATCCTTAGCTGCTTCTGCCTACTTTTGTCTTCATAAAGCATACTTATGCATTGTGAGGGATCTACTTTCTTTGGTACAATAGTTGTGTGTGTGTGCTACTAAATACTGATTCTGATTCATTTCATTCTTTTGTTTTGAAAAGGTGAAATTGATGGTCAATCCATTTGCTTATGAAGAATATAGGAAAGATAGAATTCGACAGAAGATAGAAGAAACACGTGCACAGAGAGTCCAATTAAAGGTAAAGAGTCTACTCAGCATTGTGATTACCAGAGGAAAATGGTTAATCTTCATTTTGTGTGTTACTCTGAGAAGTCTCCCATCATATCCATGAGTTTCCATCTTTTAGTTCACTTCTTTTGCTTTTTGGGTGTACTTTGTCATGAAGGTGGGTGGTTAGGTGTTGGGTAATATTATGTACTTGATAATACCCAAAAGGTCAAGACACACTGGGCTATAGTGCTTTGATCTACAGCTGCTGTGGGCCACACTAAGAACACCTCATAACAGTTCCAGCTGTTTTCAGTTTGACAGATGTTAGAAATCTGCTTGTCTCCATTTCCTGCTAATGTACTTGGTTCTCAGGTTCTCTGCATCCCAGGATGCTAGTAGACAGAGTCAGGAAACAACCAGCACCAGTTGTATTGATGGAGAGGATTTAGCATTTGGCAGGCATCTGAGCTCCCAAAAGACAGAAACACTGAGATGGGAGAAGAAGGACGGTGACTGAGATCCAGGCGGCAAGAAGGGTGTGGGCACAGGAGGACCCAGACCCCTAAGGGACTGGCAGGCTGGTGCTCTTGGGATTTGAGGGTGATCCTGGGTGTGCTGAGAACTGCAGACTGTTGAATACCACTGCCGCCAGAGCCACCTGCTATTCCCCTGGTAAAGAACTGCTGTTAGTTATTCCAGCCAGACCGTGAGCAGACAGGGTGGGGCTTCCTCTCTGCCTGCTCCTGCCTTCTTGGCTCGCTGGCATCCCATCCATTAAGTCAAATCACTGAGTGATAAAATATTTATAACTGAACATTGGTTTAAAATATGTGTGTAATATTCACACTCGGTAACAAAAAGACTAGTAACTTTCCTGAGATGACCTCAGTGCTCCTCCATTTTCCACAGTTACTCAGAGTAGGGGATGTGTACCTGCCACAGTTCTACTTTACTTAGTCCAGTAAATGAGCATGATCTGATGAAAGAAGACAGTAGGTAGGCCGCAGCTTATCTGAGAGTCCTTAGGCTCCCATCTAGACTCTAGGAACTCACCCTTTACAGAGCAGGACGTATTTCAGAGGTTCCCACAACTGCAGCAGAGAGCAGGGCAGGTGGCTGCAATTCCAGGGGTCCCAGGCCCTCTGTGGCCAGCTTCCCAGTGAGCTGGGAAGACAGTATGCCCCCATTACAGGCCATGCTTACAGTTCATGCCATTTGGCCCACCTGCTGCTATTCCTTTTCCTTGTGTAATTCTTTCCTACCATGGACGGAAAGCTAAGAAATAGGAGTGAGCTGCCCTTTGTGAACGTAGACTACTCACAGGCCTGCTGGTCTTTAATGTTAAGTGTATTTATCTCAGTGTATCTTATTTCCATCTCTTTCCCAGAAACT